AAGACATCGAAGACTATATATTTCTAAACGGTGAAAAATACCGACCACAAGAAATTTCACCTATAAATATTTTTAGCTTTGTTACACTAAAAAATGAAATTCTTGATTTTCTAGGATGGCCCTATTACATCTTAGAAAAATTAACTATTTTATACGCAATGTTTAACTTTATAGGATTTCTTTTTTCGCTTTTAAAAGGAATCTATAATACATGCGCTATACACACACAAGTAAATAGACAAGCAAGTGTAGCACGCATACTATTTGCAGGATTTTTTGGAATTTTTTCATCATCAATAAACAAAATTCTTTTAGACGCACAAATAAAAGAATACAACACAAAAATAGCAACAAGACAGAACACATATGACGAAGAACATTATAATATAGAAGTAACGCCTACAGCACCACAGTTGCCACCCCTACCACATAACCATCCATTATCCCTAATCCCACGAAATTTCCGAAATTTAGCAATAACACATAATCCAAATTTTAGACCAAACATATCGCAAAGTCCCATACAACATATAATGACACATCATTCACACGATGAAAATACATATGAACAAATTATCGAACAACCCCATACCACCGCTTTTCAGTCTCAAAATAATAATTTTTTTAGCCCACGATGAGCCGACAACTTGGATCCCTACACCGCTCAAATTCCCATCCAACCAACCTCAACACTCCAATTACAATAATTCCACTTTTTGCTTTCCCGCCACCCGATTTCCCAACTAGTAATATAACATCAGGCATGAATTCAGACACTAATTCAAATATTTCAGTTTTATACTCCATTTCACAACTCAAAAACCCTAATATTGAAACCCCTGATGAATTTGCAGACTCTGAACCATCTCCATCCAATAATTTTCAAGCCAACTCCTCAATTTTTTCAAAACCCCCTTTTCAACCAATCCCACCAAATAACCCACTCCCATCCATTTCTACACCCTCTTATGCTTCACAAGTCACCCCAACCTACTCTTCATTTCATTCAGACCGATCATCCAATTCTCCAGATATTCCCCAAATCTCCCAAGAACTCGATAATTTTATCACCCTACAACAAAAACTATTACACCCTAACACCCCCACTATAAATCAGATTTCTTCCACAATAGAATCCTCAAACCCACCTACCCCTACACCCTCTTCAGCTTATTCTGCATCATTAGCACAATCATCCACTTCCACCGAATCATCAAAAAGCACTAATAGAGCTTATCGCACTTTTAAAAGAAAATTCCCAAACCATCCATTCCCAACCAAACCAGGATCAGCCCGTGAATATATTAATCATCCACATCACACTAACACGAAAGATTTTTTAGCAATCACCTTACCTTCATTTCCACAATATACTTTAAACACCCCTAACGACACTAACGACACACGTAGCTTTGTAGATGAACATGTTTTAATGCCTACACTTCATTGGACATCATATTATCATTTTACTAATCCCCTTTGCCTACCATTATCTAATACTCACAACGATATAGAAAGAAATCAAGATATGCTATATCGACTCACCACACCACCAACACATAGACAATTTACTTATATAGGATATAAAAAATCACTGAAAATATTCTCTGCACCCCGAGCTAACGAATTTACGCTAGAATATTACGATCATAACATCATACGAACTAACCAAGACCAATTTTTAGATGATGATCGCTTCGCTAACCCACAACTAACAGAAAAATTCTTCATCAAAACACCATATGTATTTACACTCAATATCTTTGATCGAACATTTGACCACATCATTTCTGAAGCACTAACCGACATGCAAGCTTACGAAAGTTTTAAAGAAAAATTTCAATTATTTTCACTAACCTTCCACTTCCTTGCACCACATTAACGCAATTTGCACTGCTCACACGACATTATGTTACGCACTAAACAAACCCACACATATACATATTATCGCTTCATACAAAATCATTTTGACCTACACACTCCATCAAGACAACCACACCACCGTTTTCAGTTCCTTAACTCTAAATACACTTCACCATTTTTTCTTAATTTCACATATTGCATCAAAGATACTAACCTTCACGGCATCCTCCGCAATTATGATCCCATAATCCAAATGTATATATTTTGTCCCATCACGAAGACCTTTAACGCAGAAGAATCCAGACCCTTCCTTATCCCACATGAATTTATCCAACCTATAGAAATCCCAATATTAGAATTCATCCACAACACTATTAGAATTCATCCACAACCTCATTCAAAACACACCTTATGAGTTTGCAGTTGGCACTGAAGAACTAAAAACTATTAAAGCACTTCAATTGCTTTGGCCACTGCTTCAAACTAAAAACATCATTCGCATACTAGCAAAATTACTAACAAACTCCGACAAAATACACGACATCTTCCCCCACGGTTTTTTCCCCGACGACTAACAGGTAAGTATAATTTATACATATTTTTCACTAATAAATTTGAAATAAATACTAACCATTCTTTCCTCATGTTTCATTTAGATCTTTAGTCTTCATACCAGGATCATCTGAAGAAACAAAAAAGCAAAATAAAAAATAAACTTGTTAAAATTCTTCACTTCACTAATATTTTCCAAAAGATAAACTGTAAATTTATACCAAATGTAGTGAATTGATTTATAAACTGTTTCCCCAAAAGCAGTAAATTTCATAAAAAATGAAAATTTGTAATTTAATTTTTCCCCAAAACAAGCAGTAAAATTAAAATTCCATGTAGTAAATTGATAAAATGAGAATGCAGTACTAACCTTTTGATATTTTCATTCATTCGCACAAGAATTCTATCCAAACTCGCACAGCTCGCCCACGAAGAATTGTTTAAATAATGAATTTCAGTTTCAAGCTTTTACACTCAACAACTCTAACACGCGATAACAAGTTTCAAACTTTCCTTTAACCCGGTTGGAAAGGAATTATATACTAAACAAAACTAACCAACGCAGCTTACTAAACACCACAAATCATAGAATAACAGCATGACTAAGAAAAGAAAACCAACGGTACCCAAACCGGATTAACCCAGTTTAAAACTGGATAATTTATTCTTTTGAAGACTATTATAAAGTCTAAGAAAGAAATAATAAAACACAAAAAAGTCGAAAGACAAACCCATAACAAAAACAATTTGATTTTTGAAAAAAAGGACACAACCAAAGGAACATAAGAAAGACCAACATAAACCCGACATAAAACGTTATCACATAACAGGACCTCTCACAGAAACCGCACAAAATCATACTCCCACTCCTGGCCTAACCCACCAGAGAGGAAGTCCTGAGCATGCTCTATAGCCGGCCTAACCCACCGCGCTACATCCACGCTTTGTGACCACACTTCTATTTTTAATAAGAGGTACTCAAGGGTGAGTAACTCTTCAAAATAACCGAACTAAAACAAAATGCTTTTGTGAAAACAACTAACCAAAATCATAATTAAAAACTGAACTAATAAAAATTTTATAAAATGTAAACTATACCTTGCAGTATATAGATCAGCACACAACAACAAAGACGAACATCCAAAGACAAAATGACCCCACTACACTTGAAAAAGAATGGCCAACCACAAACCGATATGCCGTCCACAATCACAAACTCAAAGGATTTAGAGTACGACTTGACTTCGCAGAAAAGGACTTCATTGAACTAGACCAATGACCACCTCGATGTTCAAGTATACGTTCAGATCCGAGTTACAAGGCATTCCCTCCACGCACAATCTCCACACCATTCCCAGACGAGGTCGAACACAAAAGAAGTTCTCTACATAAAACAGAAAAACCCGTCATAGCAAACCATTCTGAAATCAGATTGATTTCATTGGGAAACACCATCGTTGTCATAAGAAGACACAACGATTGATGCCCCTCACTCCAGCGTCCTGGAACTTCTCTAACAAGAGAAACCGGACAAGAAGTACGATGTTCGCCAAATACCAACGTCCATCATCCATCCTTTGAATTGCAGAAAGATAATTCTAAAAAACTCTGTAAAACCCGGATGGGTGGAACCTGATCTAAACTATATTTTATGATTGGATAAATTAGATATTTTACCACTGTAAAGTATTTAATATTAACCAATCATGATCCATCTAACTAACAACCCACTTATTTGTAAGTGCTGAAATTACTTGTAATTTCAGCACCAGAGAGATTTGAATTTAACTTAGAAATTAGTTGCCACTCCAAGAGAACTTCAGCAGCCGCAATAAACCAGTATACCCTAGATCTATTGAGCCTAGCAGAGACTAGTTAAACACCCTGAGACTAGATAGTATAAGAGTAAGATTAGGATCGGTATTAGACTAAGAAGTTGCACGAATCTATCCGGCCGAAAATAAGATAGCGTGACGAGCAGACGGTGTACCCTATCCGAAATTACTCTATGAGTTAACCACATCGGTCCTAACTCAGTAGCACATTTCTGTGTTCGTTTTCCACGCACAATTGAAAGTCGATTTTAAAATTTCAGTGTTCCGCCTATTTCATGGCAGTAAGCTTATCTGGCCAGAAGTTGAGAACTATTTAACATTATAATCAATTAAATTTAGCCAGAAATTGGTTTCATATCTTTTGAGATTAAGCTATTATTGAAAACGAAAACACAGAACGCAACGAAAGTTGAGTTTCAAATTTCTATCAAGTTAAGCTTTTTTGTGAATAAAAACTGGTTTCTATCACCATATCCCCATTGGAAATTCATTTTTTTAGTTAGGCAGTTGTTTTTCAAGGTTATATAACGAAAAAAATGAAAACAGTGGCAAAAACTGGTCAATTCGGAAAACTTTCATTAAAATTTTACGTTGTGGAACAGGTAAAAATGGTATGGTACAAATCATCGCGATAACCAAAAAAATGGCGTGAATGCGCGGTGAAGGGTGAGCAGGCGCGGGGGGGGGGGAGGGGGAGGTCTTGAGGTTCATGTGGGATGGTAAAGAACTATAGCATGAATTGTTCATTGCCTTATTCAGCTCCGCTTCATTTGGGAAGAATGGCGCCAATTGTGAGTAGTTAATGCCTTCTGAGACGAACAGTAGAAGCGACACAACAATACTGATTTTCACAGTCAGCGACAAATGCTCTTCAGAAGCACTCATAACTAACAGTTTAATCTCAGTTATTACAAACTTTAAAAAAATTGTAATTGTTAGTTCAAAAATGGAAAAGCAAAAAGTCCAAAAATGAAGAGAAGAAAGTTGAAGTGCAAAATAGAGTCGATATCAAAAAGAACGAGTTGTAACAGGTACAAAATTTGGAAACGCTTGAAGGTGGGAAAATGATTTGTTTTATTTATTGAGAATGAAAACTACTAAATTGCAGATCGTATTAGTGAAAATACAAATTGACTTTGAGACAGAACAAACATGAACTTCAAATAGAATACTTTAAAAATGATGTCAGGTGACGAAAGGAGAGCTAGATCAAGCTCAACCTCAAGGATAGAATAGGCCTCTTCAAGTTCATTGTATAAATCAGGGGCGGATCTAGGATTTTCTCGAGGGGGGGCGGATTTTCAAAAAATTTTCGAAAATTTTGACGACCTTTTTTTTTTTTTTAGGTCGATCAGATTGACATTCCGAGTTCTCCCAAAGCAGTAAAAAGACCCTGTTTTGGCCAAGCTTTCTGCTCCAGGCAATTTTTTGAAGAAAAAACAGGTCAAAAAAGCCGTTTTTGGGCACTTTTTGGAAAATTTTGACAGGAAAAACGCATTTTTTTGGCGCGCGCTCCCCCTCAAAATTAGTATATATTGGCGCCGAAGGCGCCTTTAGAAAAATTTTAGGGTCGGTCGGCCAAAAATGGATTTCTTAAAAAGTACCAAAGGGGGGACCCTTTGGGTTGGCAGGGGTTCGAATCCCTGAGGGGGGGGGGGGCGTCCGCCCCCCCCCGCCCCTTCCCTAAATCCGCCCCTGGTATAAATTATCCTTTACCTTGGGTATTATGAAAAAATCTGGGATTTGGTTTGTTGTTTTCTTTAGGGCGCATCGAATTTTTTTTCTTTTCTCAAAAATATATCAGTTTAAATCAAAAAATAATCTCCTGATTTTCAAAAAGTTGTACCAATGGAAAAACTGCACTCCCCTGGGTGCATATGCCCTAGTCTCCTTTTGCGTTACTCCACTTTCTACAGCCTTCAGAGAAGTGTGTGGGGGAAATATTTGACACAAATGTTAGAATTTTTTTGATTTTCCGAAAAACACCACTCTCAAATCTGAAATTTTGGATTCAATGGACAGAACGGGCTATGAGAAGCTCCAGTGCATTAACGGCTACGCCCAAAATTTTTCTTCACACAAATTTACATTAATCGTAGTGTATCATCCTCGCAAGTGTATCGTCCGTTTTTTTCTTTGAATTTTTCAAAATTGATCCACCCAAACTGAGATTTTCCGTTCAATCAAAACAACGGTTGACTGCAAGAAATCAAAAAAGTTCTCTGCACGAGCGGCTGAGCCCAACAAATCTTTTTAGACACACAATTTTTGGCACTTAGAAAAGTTACAGTTTTGATTTGATGATCACTTTTTAAATCTTTTGACTTCTCGAAGTTTTTCCTGCTAAATCTGATATCAAAATTCTAATCGCAACAACAGTTTGTGGGAAACTTTTTTACTGGACTTTTCTCTAAACTGGAAAAATTCTATAGGCTCTCGGAAAAGACAAAATTGTATTTTTATGTGTCCTATTTTTGGTAACTATTTGACTTTTCTCTAAGACTACCCAATCAATTCTGAGAATAAGGGTTCAATCGTATAAGGTTATTGAGAGAATTGTTTTTCGCAGAAGTGGCGTTTATTAATACTTCGTAAGAAAATTCTTGTACTTGTGATATGTACAATTTCTGATATTGTCACCGTGTTTTGCAATTTTTGCTAACTTTTCCACTCTTCTCGAAATCTACTCTAACTAGTCTGAGGTTTAGAGTTCAAATTTGTAAATAACTTCTGATAACTGTTCCTGTGAAACTGGTTCCGCGGTGGTGAGATCGAAGGAACAGGCTTTGGAAATCGAACAAGCGCGTTGAATCAACCTAAAAAAAATATTACAATTTTGAATGTTTTTTGAAAGCTTTCATTTTACAAAAACTACACCGACAGTTTTGAGTTTTCTGGTTTAACTGAAACAAAACTTTCGTGCAAATTTCTTCCTTGCATAAAACAATACCTCCTATTTTTTACAGAAAAGCAATGGGAAAAATTCATTTTTTGAAAAATTTATCGGTTAAGAAAACTTTCGTCTCTTCAAAACTACTTCGCCAATTTTGACACTGCCGTCAGTTGAAATAACGGCTTGTTAGAGTATCCTTTACAAAAGCGCTTAATCATTTTTCTAGAAGAGAAGTTTCAAAGGTTTTGGGTGAAGGCCAGTTTTTTTAATCTAAAACTACTCATTTTAACGCTCATCAGTACATTTTCTGAAAAATATCAAACAGGTATTTCCAGCTCTAGCTGCGCTCATAGTAATTTTTACACCACGCGTCTATCGTATCGTCTGATTGCATAAGATTGCACAGCAGAGAGTAAGTTAATTGAATAAAGTTCTCCGTGCACAGAAAATTGTAAAACACAATGAAAAGGTTGATTATTTTACTCATGTTTTTGATGAATACAAAGTTGATACCTCTAGAACTGTTGCTTGATCAGAAGTGGTTTTTTAGTCAACAATTTTTCTTTTTTGAACTAAGCAATTTTGACAGAAAATTTTTCTACTATCTAAAAAATATTGTTCCAGTGGTCAATTTTTTCCGACTTTCAAATAAAGTGAAAAATATATGGTTGGGGTGTTTTTCATGTTCAGATTAATTTTGAAACGATAGTGTGGGGACACCTGTGAACTGTGGACTCATCTGGAACGGCATATGTGGGTTGTTACTCGTGTGTGCTTGCTTAACTGCAGTTTGAATTGCTCGATTAACACCTTCATAGTTTCTTTTCGATTACTATGTATGCAATGCGATTTAACCCGCACTCATAGTCATTCGAAATTGAACTGAGACAAACTAATTGGTCAAATTGAGTTGACTCGAAATTCAACTTTTGATATTGTCATTCCAAAATTTCTAGTATATAAAAACTTTAATTTCTGAAACTCGAGACCAGTTAAGGTGTGATATAGAAACTGAACAGTCCTGTTTATAAATTTTTAGGCGTTCGAAACTTGCTAAATAGGGTTTTTTGTAATATAATTACAGCGGCGGTTTATCTTGAACTCGATTAATGCCTTCCGAATTGAGTTGAGATAAAATTTTTGGCCTTTTTATTAGGATATGAGACGCTAAAACACCTTTTTCTATTTTACCTTAGCGTGTGAGGTTAGAAAATTCCTTCTTTTGAATATTTTGTAGTTTTTCCATAACCTCAAATTTTCGGTTAGTGGAAATTTTATAAAGATTGTTTTCAGTTTTCCAAGTATGATGTTTTTGCACGATCATGCATGGTCATTGCACCTTAGCAGGTTCTTTCATGATCTTGGCAAATTAAAAATACTTGACAAATTTTCAGCCTTGGTATACGAGCAGTCTTGTTGTACCGACCATTCACATTTTGAAAAATGGAGCAGAACTTTGTATTCGGAGGTCTTTTAGTTTTTTCTTTTTTTTTGTTTTCCACGCGAAATCAACTATCACAAGTAATCATTGAAGAGAGTTGCGTGATATGTCAATTTGAAGCCCTTTCAGTCAAGATTCAAACGAAATTAAGAAATCTCAAAAAATATTTTTTGTCGAGAGAAACCGGTTTGAAATTTATGATTTTTTGTTTCCATTCGAGCGAATAAAGCGTGCGAGCAGGCATAAAATTGCTTATTTTAATGGCCTAAAGCTTACAATAGCTCAAGTTAAAGCGTAGGAACCCAGTTTTTTTAGTAATATTAGTTGTTCGGAGTATTTTGGCGCCTTTTTGGAATCAAAAACTTCATAAATTCAAAAAAACTGCCAACACTTTTTTTTAATTTTGATTTTTTTTATTTTTTTTTTCGTTTTTCTGATAGTCAATTTTGTACGAAAAATAGTTTTATAATTTAATTAATTTTCATGACAGTCGAATTTGTTTGATCTCTAGTTGTTCCGACTTTCGATACGAAAGTAACGGAATGTTTGTGCTCGGGGTGGGTTTTTTTTCTTCAGACAAATTTCGACTTTTTAACTAGCCATTTTTGACGGATTTTTTTAACATCATTCAAAAGGTATTGTTGCCTTGAGCTCAAATTTGAAAAGATATTTCACGTATGATCATTTTTCGTATGGTTATGGTGGTTTAAAGATTGGCATTTTGGCCAATTTGGGACAATTAACGCGCGATTTATTTCGCGCTATTAACGCGTAACAGGAGAGTTAATCCGACTTAGAAATTGTTCCAAATTGGTTGAAAGAAGCTTATTTGCCATAATTGATTTGTTACAAGGAACGAAATCTATCCTTTTGTACTTTATATGGCGTGTGGGGGGATGATTTTCATAAAAAAACTTCAAATTTTGGAAAAAGAAATTTTTCATTTTTTTTACTTTCAACTTTTTAATGTTATTACTGCTCCATAAACCTTAAAAGGCAGTCGGAACATTCAAGGCTTTGCCCTGATACAAGCAGTCTTGTTTTTCTTTCAGCTCAGTTCATTACACCACGCCAAAAAGAACGACGCAAATTTGAAAAAAAAACATTTGTGGGATTTTTATGACTATGGTCAGAACATTCTGTACTCTCAGAGTAACCGGCTATTCTTTTTATTCTTCGATACTGTCAGAATGATAATCTATTCAAACTTCAAATGGTAAGCTGCGTTTCACGTACTATCGCTTCGTACTGATAATCTTACAGCCAGAGAAGAGAGTTCAAGCATTTCTTTTCTAATTGCAGTTTAAATCAGATCACAGATTACCAAAATTACCAACACTATCACAAACTACCAAATCGTCAATCTCAGCTTTCTCGAACTAAAACGCCAAACAATTCTGAGCAATAAACCGAACAGACATTTATCTAACTCAGAAAACTTTGTCATTACATCAGTTGGTTTTTCGATCAGATTTCATGCCTCAGGCTTGCGTGGAAATTCAAAAATTTGGGTAATATGAACAATCAGGCAATCTTAAACTACAATTTTTG